GAACAGCTGCAGCCTTTTCGCTGGAAGTGCTTCCAAGTCTTGGTAGTTGCGGGAGAAAACGACTCTGGGAATTCACTACGAGACGCTCGCAAGTTCATCATTACCGATGAAGAATACCACAGCTTTTGCAGGCGACACAAGACTCAGACGTCACTCGTACCAGAGTCGAATCGACTGATGGCCAAGTCGTACTTGATCCTCGACGAGTACCTGAGGTTTCTAGACCGCGACGGACGTCAGCCATCTGAATCTATTCTTGACGTTGGGGTTGAGACAGCACTTCGGAGCGTGTACTGGGACGAGAAGGCTTTTAAGGACCGTGGGGGGGTGTACGACTGGACCAGGCCGGCCAGCACCTGCGGAAAAGATGGGCAAGACCTACAGTGGTAAGACCATGAATACCGCTAGCGGCAGGGAATACTATGGTCGTGTGATGTTGAGGGCCGTGTATTGCGTCATACACTGTTATAGAGGCCAATCAAACTCATAGTCAACTGTATGACGCGTCAAGCAAATCGAGTGCTACAAAACGCTGGATTTGAGTGAGCGATTGAGCTTCAGCGAAGTAACCTTATCGCCATGTCCACAAAGTCTGAAAACTTCACCAACAGAAGCAGGCCTTCGAGACGGTCGAATCTCTACTTGGTAGGACCTCAGTGTAGTGGAAAGACGACTCTTCTCAACGCGTTGAGGGCATTGTACTCCGATCACAACCCAGCATCTCAGGACATCGATAAACCATTCATCATCGAAGAAGCAGCCCGATTGATCATGCAAGAGGAGGGGTTTCGAGCAACAGATCTATGTGATAGTGTTCGGGGCCTCGAATTACGGATGCGCATTCTACGAAGACAGGACCAAACCGAAGAGCAGATGAGGGACCAGTGGTTCTTTGCAGATCGGTCACCGCTGGATACACTAGTTTATGCGAAGGAATACACTGGAATCGACGCCCTCAAGACACTAGCGCAAACGGAGGAGTGGGCAAGGTCACGGTCAAGAATGCAACACGCTACAGTGGTAGTTTGCGAGGCTGGCAATGTAGAGTGGCTAAGTGCAGACAGTATCAGAATAGCGTATCGGGACGCTTCAGAGTGGAAAGCATTGAATGGAGCGTTTTTCGATCTGCTCAGGGAGTGTGGCATTCCAT